GCTGCGTTTCCAGACCGTTTGGGATGCCTTTTTCCCCACTCGTTTCCATGACGAGCGCTGTGCAGGCACCGTGGCCTCGTGCTCCGCTGCTCTACACGGTGCTCGAAAACCCAACCCCTTCCCCTCGCGCAGAGCTCGCAGGTGGCAGCACAAACACTGTCCTCAAAAAGAGCAGCGCAGGCCGCCGCTCTGCCTGGCAGCTGGGCACACGCAGGGGTGAGCTTGTGAAATTGCACCCCGAAACCTTGGAAACGCTCAGGCACAATTGCACCTGCAGGCCTGGGAGGCAAAAGTGCCTTTTGCAATCTGGGTGAAATCAGTACGCCTCCGTTTCAAAAGATGAGCTGTTCCTGCAGGGCAGTTTGCCCTAACAATTAGGGTTTGATATCTGCAGCGTGGGTGCCCCAGATCTTTTGGGAGAGGCTGGCTGCAAGCAGCGTGCACAGCCTGCGTCCCAGCACCTGCAGGAGCATTTTTATCCCGCCAAATGCTGTTCCGTGGAGCGATTCAGGCCTGGGGAGGTCACAGGAGTGCTGGTATCCACCCTCCTTTGCCAAAATCACTTTGTCCATGGGGTGGGGACAGGGAACAGACCCCCTTGCCTCGTCCCTGGCCCTTCAGCCTCACTGCGCTGTTTGACACCCAGGGCCCTTTCCCTGTTACAAATGCTCTGCTGCTCTAAGCTGTGTTCTGTCTCTGTCAAAAAAGGCTGCTGCTGCTGCTTCAGAGCTTCACTGGCTACACAGAAAACCTGCTCAGCAAGCGAGCCATGACCCCGGCGCAGGCTGTGGGACCCTGCATGTCCGCAGGGCTGACAGTGAGGAGGTTCTGGTGCAACATGCTGAAACTGGGCGCCTTCTACCAGCAACTCCTGGCCGAGGTGGGACATTTGGGAGCCCTGACACCCCATGAGCTGAATGCAGGGGCCACGGAAATGGCCCTTGCTTCTTGCCCCCATGATCTGGACCATGCTGAGGTCATGGTCCTTCTCTGAGACACCCCATGACACGCACGGTGGCCATGCTAGATGTGTTCCTGGCTCATGACCCTCCAAGTGCTGACCCGTGTGTCAGACAGGACACATCTGTCCTGCCCTGTCCCCTCCCAGCCTGAGTCTCTCCCCTCCTCTAACCACTGCTCCCAGCCATGCTGCTGGATCCATCATCTCCAGGAGCTCAGGATGGGTAAATTTGGCTGCCTTTATCGCCTGGAAAAATACTCTCATCCCACCAACGTGCTGCCTCAGCAGCTCTCCCAACCCCACCCTTTGTGAGCCTGAGCTGGCTTAAATCGGTAGTAAGAACACTATGCCCCTGCATGTATTTTTTCCCAACCAAAATGATCCCTCTCATGGCAAAGTCTCAATTCACCTGGCACAACCAGGAGACAGTGCAGGAGGTGTGAAAGAAGGGACTGTCACAAGCTGGGGAGCAGGTTTCACTGCTGAGGCTTCTTGTGAAACCACAGCGGTGGCTGGAAAGCTGCCTGGCAGTGTGTAAATATTCAGTTCCTCCATGGCCCGCATCAGGGAGTGGGAAGCAAATTCATTTGGCTTGTTAGCCCTTTGCTTTGGTTGTAACAGAGCACAGTAAATTGGGAACCCGAGCGCTTGGTCGCTGTCCTCCAAGCTCTGAGAACTTCTCTCTTCCCAAGAGAAGGGCTCACTGCCCCATCGCCCCATGGCCGCGCTGCTGTCCTGTCCCCACACTTCACCTCTGTATTTGGGCTCTTATGGATCATTTGCAGCCACCTCTGTTTGAGCTGGGCCATGGTTTTGTTCTGTGCTCTCTCCACCAGAAGAAGGCTTGCAAGGAGAAGGTCCCCACGCCACAATCCACTCACCAGGCTGGGAAACCTGAGAAGGAGCACCTGAAACGTGGCTCGCCTGACGGTTTGGAGTTAAGAACTTCCACAGAAGTTGCTCAGCCCACTTCTCTGTGCCCGTCATCGAGCGTCCGTGCACCAGCCAGCGCCGCCTCGCGCAGCTCCCCGCCCAGGGCTGCCTGCAGCACGGCCAAGGGCAGCTGCAGCATCCCCACGCAGACGACTGGGTCATCCCAGGGACCCTGCGACTCCTGCGCCAGTGCCCAGGTCAGCCTCCACAAGCTCAGCAAAGCCATCACCAGCATCTGCCAGAGCCAGAACATCCCCTCAGCTCTCAACAAGTTCCAGGAGGTGGTGGAGGACAGCACAGGGAGAAGGACCCTTTCTGCAAAGGACATGAGCTACTGGGCCTCAGAGCAGAGCAAGGACCTCTCCCGGATCAGCAAACACCTCCAGACGCTGCTGCAGCAGCTCGACTCTCTGAAGTTGGAGCTGCAAGAGTCGGAGAAACAGAAGGACAAGCTGCAGAAACAGGTTGAGGACTTTTCCCGGTTGCTTCAGGCAGAGAAGGAGACCCAGGCGCAGCAGAGGAAGGAGGCTGAGCAGAGCCTGCAAGCAAAGAACAAGGAGCATTTAGAGGCTGTGGCCAGACTGGAGCGGGACAAGGATGACCTCCGGAAAGGTACAGTGCCGTTCCCAGCGTCCCCTCCCAGGCCCGTGGGGGTTTGCAGGAGAAACAAGGAGTCCGTGGTCAAATCTTGGTCCCATCGCTATGAGTAATGCTTTTGCCACTGGTTTGGGTAGGCGCCGGGGCTGTTCCCCGCTGTGAGACTGACCCCAGGCAGCGGGAGCTGGTTGTCCACGTCCTCTCGCTGCCTCCTCCCTGCTGAAGCACAGCGCGATGCAATCGCAGCATGAAAAATGCTTTGGCACAGCTGTTTGCTGCCTTCTTGTTTTAGTTTCTTTGTGGAGCTGTTTAACGTTTAGTGACGTTTTTGTGCTGCTTTAGGAGCTGCTCTGCTGGAAGAGCAACACTCTGCCTTGAAGAAGGAGCTGGCAGCGAAGCAGGCTGCTGTGCAGGAGCTGGGTAAGGATGCCCGGGGCTCACTTAGCTGGCACGACTTCTCCCAAGCCGATCTCACGAGTGATTTACACCCACGTAATGCCCAGCTCTTCCAGAATCAGTCAGGTGTAGTGCTGGTGGGAACAGAGGGGAGAATGAGCTTTCTTCATAGCACTGCCGGAACGTCACCTAGTGCCAACATGGGCTTGTGCTGCTGGCCATACTGGGAGTTGCAGCCCTTGGGTCTGAGCTGCTTCCCCCTCACCAGGGCCCGTGGAGGGTGTGGGGTCTCCTGAAGACCCCTTACCTGGGAGCTTCTCCCCTCCTCCTGCCCAGCCTGGGCCAAAGCTGCCATGTCTCCCCAGAGAACACCAAGACGACCTTGCTGGAGGAGATGAGGACCACGATGGTGGCCAGGAGCCAGGTGCTGGACCTGGAGGAGAAGGTGCAACTGCTCACCAGCCAGCAGGAGAACCTGGGCCAGGAGCTGAGCACCACCACCACCCAGCTGGAGAAGGAGAAGGCCAAAGTGGAGAGCATGCTGAGGCACGAGCAGGTATGGCCAGGCCTGCGCTCTGCAGCCGTGCACACCAGGCAGGCTGAGCTCCTGGGTGCTGCTGCCCAGTGTAAGGGTGGTGCTGAGTGGGCACAGCCTCACACAGGCCCCTGCTCTGTGCAGTCCCTGCAGGCCAAGCAGATGGCCCTGCTGCGGCAGCTCGACAGCCTGGACCAGGAGCGCGAGGAGCTGCAGGCCAGCCTGGGAGCGGCCGAGGAGGAGAAAGCTGGGCTGGCAGAGCAGCTGGAGCAGAGCCAGAAGCAGAGCGGGCGCCAGCTACGGGCACAGCAGGTCAGTGCTGGCCCCCAGCACGTGTCAGGGGCCTGCCAGGAGCGAGGCTCTGGCATGGGACACAGCTGTGCCGTGGGGGTGCCCAGAGCCACCTGCTGCCCTGTCTCCCACCCATAGCCAGAGTTTACTCAGGAGAGGGACTCTGGGAGCCGGTGTGATGATGCCACGTGGCCGTCTCCTCCCAGGACCCCCTGGGGGAGACCCATCTCCCTCAGCCCCAGTGCAGACCCGTGCTGCTCCCGTGTCCCCAGTGTGCCTGTACTTCATGGTTGGTGCTGTCACTTCCAACTCACACAGGGACCTTACAGCTCCCATAGCCAGAGTTTACTCAGGAGAGGGACTCTGGGAGCCGGTGTGATGATGCCACGTGGCCGTCTCCTCCCAGGACCCCCTGGGGGAGACCCATCTCCCTCAGCCCCAGTGCAGACCCGTGCTGCTCCCGTGTCCCCAGTGTGCCTGTACTTCATGGTTGGTGCTGTCACTTCCAACTCACACAGGGACCTTACAGCTGAGACCCTGAATGTTGTCACTATCCCCTTCCCCCTGCCACGGGACATCCTTCTCATATAAGGAAAGGGAGCACACTTTCCTTGGGAGTCCAAGTACTCTGTGGGATACCCCAGACTGTACCGTCCCAAGGTTTGGGAGAGCTCTGCAAACTTCTGTACCCCTCTGCTGTGCCACACAGGAGCTGCTGGATGCGCTGCAGCAGGAGAAGCTGAGTCTGGAGCGGGCGGTCGCAGAGCTGCAGGCGAACGTCTCCAGGCTGGAGGAGCAGGCGCAGGAGCTAAAGCAGCAGGAGAGGCTCCTGGTGTGCTTCCCCGAGCTCCACACCCCCACCGAGATCCCATTTGAGAGTAAGGGAGAGGGCAGCAGGCAGCAGTGCCTGCTTTCCCTGCAGTGGGCTTGCGCCTTCGGGGTCTCCCAGAGCTCACAGGGGATCCCCCAGGCCCTAGATGCCCCAGCAGTATTCGCACAACACCATTGTCCTGCCAAGAGCCAGGAAGGGCTCAGGCCCTGGGCTGTGCTAAGCGTTTACCACCTTACACACCTCCCTGCATGGCTGCTGTTCATCCCAGCCCCGGGCCAGGAAATAAAGCAGGGCCAGGGCACGGGCAGAGCTTTGTTTGCCCTTGCGGTTTCATGGCACGGTGTTGAGTCCCAGCCGCCACCTCCCAAGCTGCACTGGTGCTCCCTGCTTGGGGCAGCCACGCTGCTAGGGGGGCAGGAGTGCTGCTGTGCACACCCCCGAGCAGGCAGGCAGCAGAGGGATGAGCTCTGGCTCCCAGCACAAAGATGTCGTGTTTTGTTTGCAGGCACCGGTAGCTTGACCGAGGACATGGAGAAGCAGCTCCAGGCCAACACCATCCGGGTCAGCGTGCTGGAGCAGGAGAACGTGCGGCTCAGGTCTGCGCTAGCCAAGGTGAAGGTGGCCGCCGAGCAGGGCGTGCTGAAGGTGAGGCTGTGCCCAAGCCAGGCTGAGCTGGGTGCTACGGGAGTGCTGTATCCCCTAAGACCATCCCATGGCCCTGGGCACCATCCCACATTCTCTGGGAATCGGTTCCCTGGTTGTGAACCCTTGCAGAACAAGCACTGGGGAGGAAAAGGCCATGGGGCATCTTGCACAACATCCTCTGCAACTCAGCAGTTGCTTCCCGAGCCTGCCCGGGGCTGAGCTGGATAAAGCTGCTTTCAGAAGGGCACGAAGCTGGGCGGGGGCTGATCCTGCCTTGAGGCAGCTGAATCAGGTGCTTCCACCCGATGTTT